TATATATATATATACATACACACACATTGAATAACAAGTTATACAATATTCATGAATTGTATGAGTTTGCTAAAGTTTGTTCAAAATTTATTGATTATTCAAAGTCACCTTCTTGGTTTTATATAAACTAACAACAAGATTTTCTTTTCTAAACTTATAAAACGCTTCAAGTATTTTCAAATACATGTATGAAAATATGTATGCTTACATATTGATTATATTTATGTTTTGCGCTTTTAAGATAAACAATAGAATGGAACCAATGTTACAGGTTATGGTGAAGGGTTTCTTTCTTCTTGATCAACCAATTGATCTTGGACAAACTATAGTTTATAATGCACGGGTGTATCTGAATATGAAGTGTTTGAAGAACTGAATGCCTTTACGCTGACGCGAATGAGTGTGACAATAGCACGCGAGATGAATTACGTTAAGAGTTTTCATTCTGGCCTCCAAAAACCGAGCTGTACGATTTCAAGGGTGTTCAAGCGTTCGACCTGTATGGTCGCTTTGTTACTATACACTACGGATTCTAAAGATTCTCAGTAGACAGCTAACGATAGTGATAGACTGTGGTCCATCGACCAGAGATAATAACTGTTAAACGAAGTAAATTAACGATTAATAAAGCGGAAGAAGGTATACTGCATTTGCTCACCGGTTGAAATTATTTCCAACTACGAGACAAATGTAAATATTCGACGATTGATAATGTTTTTTCGAGACGTTCATTCGTATATTGTATGTACACAAATATATAAAGTTTGCGTTTTCATTGATATAATTGGGTCTTTTAAAGATTAGACCCAGCGATCAGAGAGCATTCATATGATGTATAAGACAGTACAACTTTCAAACGGGAGATAGTTCGATGATAATTTCATTTCGCACAAAAAGAAATTTGTAAGAGATTCGTTTTTTCTTATGTCATTATTTCTTCATTTAATATCCAATGTTATACTTTACTGCCAAACGCTAATAAAATCGTGATATTCGTTCAAACTATACCTGTTTATTTATTTCCAAGTCACTGGGATTATCGTTCATTACACGATCAATGACAGACGACGAGTGATCAATAGGAGCAGCAGAGCAGTTATTAATGTCATCTGTATTCTGTTCACTACTTTGCTGTGTTATCGCATTTTCAGATATTATTATATAATCATTGGTGTGATTGCCATGGTCTAACATTTCCACGTCTTCTGGAATTCGAGGTAAAGTTAAAAATCTTTCTCTAACCTTCAAATGATGCTCAATTCGTGTTGGTGCTTGAGGCGTAACTATCTTGTTTTTCCTCAGTCGTTTAATTATAGTAAACGGATGTAAACATTCCTGTTTCGAATTTTCAGTATTTTTTAATCGACTTCTTATCACTAAACTTCTACGAGTATAGCAAGGACGTTTGAAACCGTTTCTCGATAGTTCCTGCAATTGGTCACTAACCGATCCTCTAATCAACAAGTAATTTTTTTTTTCTTCGTCAACGATTATTGAGTGTTTCATTTCATGTACGTGGCTGCACTGTTCGCTTACGGAAACGCGATATCCGCCAGAAATGCCATACTCGCTATCGTCAAAAGCATTCGTATTCGAGGGAAGTAAAGTGCAATCTTTTTTCTGTGATTTTACATCTTTATTTCTGATATCGTTAACTATCCATCGTTGTGTATGTCGAGTATTTTCTCCGCAAATGTTATTTGACAATTTGTTGAAGTGTAGATTCGATAGAATGTCTTGGAGGTTTGGTATGTTACTCAGCAACGAGTTGAAAGAAATAAGCTGATTTTCGATTGTTGAATATATCGCAGAGGCAGTGTTATTTCCCACTTTCGATTCACGGTGGTAAGAGCTACTTCTATCGCAAACTATCTTGGTAGAGCTGGATTCAATCCCTTTTCGATGGAATATATCTTCTGAGATATTGGTTGTTGTTTCTGCTATCTTCGGATATGTGTGCTTCAACGGTGGAAAACGTCTCAGTCCATTTATCATCTTCTCGCCTACGAATCATATGGGTTATTTGTACTTCGAATATTTTATATACGTATTACTTAAATAATTTTATATACTACAAGTTATGTCATTCACATTGTGTATTATTTTCCTAATAATTTTCTTTTAGATGTAAAAAGATATACATACTCCAAAAATTATAATTTAAGGCAAAACTAGTCTAAATTTAACTCGTTAAATTTTTATGCATACTTTAAATTACTGAAATTTATACTTAACTGTTTTTATAATATAATTTATATGTGTACAATTGTTATAATTTACTCACCATTGTTTCGACAATTTTTTGGAAACATTTTTTCCAAAAATGCATTTCTTTGGATTTCATCGTCTATTTCAGTACCAACGGGGATCATCGATAATTGCTTATGTCGTTGATTACCAGATGTCGTCGAAGAATTTTCTTCATTTAAAAGAAAATATACATCATCCTCGTTAACCTCCTCATTACTGGTATCCTTTAAAGAGATATTTTTAATATTTCTTCTACATTCATCTTTCTTCTTTTCAACTGTACTCTGGTTAATATTGCATTTCCAAAAACTATCGAAACGGTTGTCATATTTAACATGAGTCATCATGGATACAATTTGTAAATATTTGCCGTTCTTATCTTGTTTTCGTGATTCACTGCCTACAGGGCTAGTCCCGTTTTCATTCGATACAAAATCACTGTTCTTTAGCTGTTCCTTTGACTTCGTCAGCTTCGCCTTAAAGGAGCTTCTGTACAAATCAAAAGAATTTCCAGGCATTTGGCTCGCTTCATTTGCACTTGGTAGATTTACCGTGACATCCTCGATGATTGGTTTCTCTTTTGACTCTCCAGTTTCATCAGGTGGAAATTTACCATCTCTGAACTCGGTGTCTTCAAGGTTCCCCATGATTTCCTTTCCTCTTAATAATATTTTATCAGGAGTTTTTAGTTCCTCTTTCGATTTTTTTCTTTGGGCCGTTGGCGTTGTGGCGAACGAAGCTTCTCCAGTATTATTATCATCGTCTCCTGGCTCTTTAGAACCGGAGGATTGTCTTGCCTGTTTCGTTTTTATTTTTGGCTCGATATAAAGTTCTGTGACCTCCGTTGGTTGTTCTATTTGTATGAATTTCGTCGTTTTATGGTATCCAAGCTTCAAACCATTTTTACCATTTTCTTGTGGCTCTATTTTAATAGGAATATCTGTATGAGTTACTTCATCTTTTATAGTTTCAGGTTCTTTCTTGACGGATATGTCTTTATAAGCAGTACTTACTCCATTAAGAACGCTTTCAGGTTCAGTAATAATGGAAATATCCTTATAATCGGTAGTTAACTTACTTTCTCCACTTTCAGGTTCTTTCTTAATCGAGATGCCTACATCATCTGAAATCGTTTTAGTTTTTATACTCGTGGGTTGTATCTTCTTTTCAGTATTTGCATCACTTTCAATATTATCGTTGTTAATGACGATCCTTTCAAAATTTGTATTCTTTGTATCTGTCTTTCTAACATCCACTAATTCTACTTCAGAATCACCCAGTCTTTCGTCTTTCAGTTTCTTATCCATTTCTTCTGCGTATTTCTTTCTCGCAGGAACCTGCTGCTCGAAATCATTTGCAGGAAGCTTTTTAACATCTACAACGACACGTGATGCCAATTTCAACAGTGATACATCCTTCAAACTATCTACGCTAGTTATTGTCACCTTTCCCTTCTCATCGATTTTTAATCGAAGTTTTTTTTTATCTCCATTAAGACTCTCCTCCGAAGAGCTTTCCTCGCAGCTACAAGTATCCACGCTCGACTTGGATTCAACCGCTTTCTCTTTCGAACCCACGACAGCGCCCTCCCCCGTCCCCGTGTCTTTACACGTCGACGTTCCGTTTTCTGACGTACAGATGGCTTTAGCCTCTCCCTCCCGATGCATTGTACCTCTCTCAGGCTCGCGCGGCTTCAAGTAGAGCCGTCTAGTATTACGTATGCTCTGTTCGAACGGATCTGGTGAGTCCAACGTTCTTCCTTGCACGTATGGCTCGAATAGTCTCGTCTGAGCGAAGTCAAAGGTGCATCTGGCTTCGGAAAATTGCTGGACGATTGCAGATGAGAGAGTGGAGATAGGTATCGGGACACCTCTTCTTCTGTCGAATTCGAGCTCCACTTGACGGATCTTCGCCTGGACATTGTTCAGGCGCGACTCAGCGATTACTTTTTGAGAATAGTAAGGCGAGAAGTTCATGTTCACATGTTCGTCTGTCTCTTTCTGTCGCAGAGCGGTGAGCAGTTGTCGAAGCTCCTCGTTCGTTTTCATGGAGAGTATGGTTGGATCTATGGGGCCGCTGGTTTCCACCTGGAAGCATCGGCAGCAGCATATATAATTGGACAGCGAACAGAATGTAAATCATGCCACGGAATGAACGATGTTTTGATAATACTCGCAGACTCTTCTCGTTCGAAATTGCGATGGCTAGGTAAATGATAGGTTGGTGGTAAATCGAGTGGTATGGAACGTTTCGCGATAAAAGGTTATGTTAATTGGTGATGCTCTCGATGATGCGTTTATGAACGAGATGAGGAAATTAGGTTGTTTTTGTTCAACATATTCGAGAAAATTAAATTTGCATAAAAAATTGTAATGGGAAAAAATAAATGGCGACTTAGATTAAAATAACTTTGAACGACTTTGACATGATCTTCGGTTGACCTTAGATGGATATAGTCTTCAATTGTCTTTGAATTGACTTTGAATGGACATAACCTTAATTTTGACTGGCATATGCGAAACTCTAAATAATCGCAGAATCTTAATTATACTCGATTCTCAAAGGGTGGACTTGGAATTATCAATTAACCTCGAATACATTTAACTTGGTTTTGAATTAAATTTTCCGCGGCCTGCAATTAACTTCGTAGGACTATACAAGGCTCTGAATCGGTCTAATATAACAACAAAAAATAGAGGATGAGAAAATGTAATATAATAAAAGATGACAAGTACAGTATTTGATCAAAGGAGACTTAAAACAGCCTCCCTGCTTAATCCATCCCTCACCGACGCGGAAGAATTTAATTTAAACTTAACCCAAAATACCATTTTTACTCAAGAATCCTATCATTCAATCCTGTCCACAACAGTCGACGAAATAGAACTTTACCTCAAACCCGTATCCCTGACACTCCATCACTTTCTTGTTGATCAGACTCTCGACCTGCGCCTTCAGGGTATTCACCTTCAGTTGCAGCAACGTAATCAAAGGAATAATGTTGGCCGGTGGGTTAGTGGTCATATGAAGATTAATCAACGCGTTCACCTGCTGAGCATTTCTCGACTCGACTAGTAACTGTTTCTTATTAAGTGCAGCAATAGACTTCTGAGCTTTGTCCATCGTATCCTCCATGGCAGAGGTAATATTAGACCCAGGTATTTTTCTCAGGATCAAACGAGTGGCGGCGCAAGATATGATTCCTGGCAAGGACAGAAATTGCGACGCCAGTGCCTGAAGACTTATGGAAGCTGGGCAGTTTCTCTTTGAACAAATGGTATCGTCCCTGGTAGCTGTGCATTGATGTTCTTCCTGTTCATGGATGTTGCAACAGCACCCGACTGGATAGCTCTTTCTGTCCAAACTGTCCTGTCTTCTCTGACAGCACGAGCAACCACGAGAGCTGATCTTACCTTGGGTTTGAGGTCCAAATGGATCAAACATCGGCATGGGAATCGGATAGGGGTAGAACGAGGGTGGACATTGGATTGATGCAGGGAGAGTGACGTTTGTCGGCTGTCCTGTCTGCTGTGCTACGCCTCCTTGACTCGTTAGACCGGTTTGCTGATGACAACCGCCAGGCAGAATAAATATGGGAGCCGTGCTACTGACGCAGTTGCGAATCTGGTCGAGGACGTTTTGAGGAAGAGCACCGTAGTTTGGCTGTGTTTGGACGGTAGATGGTACGTTGGGGTATGTTTGAAACGTCGGTGGGTACGGGTTCCTTGAGGTGTGTATGTTGGGTAGATACTGATTCTGATTCGCCACGAACATATCCGCTTGGTGGAGTTGGTAAAACGGTGGTTTGAACGGATCTATCAATTGAAATTAGAAGATTTAATTAGAAGATTTAAGATGTACTTCTTTGGTTTAGTTTATGGTAGTATAGTATATGAATAGTTTGTTTGGATTATGTTGGTAAGAAAAGTTTGGACACATATTATGAAACACTGTAGTGTCCCCATAAATGCATTTTTGCCTTTGTAGTAGATACAGTCATCTCCACGATTTCTTGGAATAGTTGCGTCGAGCGAGTCTCCGTGTTATGTTTACATTATGATGCTGTTCTGATCGCATGACACATCATCGGCAATTCCTAAAATATCCACCTCCCCCTTTAGCAGACGCGACGCAGTCTCGATGTGCGTCTACTATCGGGGCATTATCTTTATATGTATTATATGTGTATTAAAATTTCTTTCTAATATATTCTTAGCTCAAGGATTTTTATTTAATTTCAAAATTAAAGAAATTGTATTGGGAAATTTTATTATTGATGAAATAAAAATTGTAGATTATTTACCTTTAATTATTTTGCCAAAATTGTTAACAGTCCAAGAGACTAAAGTTATAGTGGAGAGAAAAAGATATGTTGCCTGTAAAATTTAAAATAATTACATTCTTGTTCAAAGAAGAATATTCATACAGCGAGTGGATTAAAGTTTGTAACTTTGACAAGATTAAAAATTTAAAATGTAAAATAAAATTACCCTTAAAGGGCTTTATTTAAAAAGAGAGAAAATCGATTCTGAAATGTGCTGTATCGTAATTTTCACGATAGAATTGTATTATGGTAAACTCGAGCACGCTCGACAAACTTCTAGTTCGTTTTTCCTTTAATATGAAATTTCACGATAAATTTTTATTACATATACAATTTCCAACTCGCATTGTATGCGAAAAGTAGATTAATTATTTAAAACAAACCAACGAGAAAATAAATGAAAACGCAAATTTTTTATGCGTAAAATCATTTAAACTATATTCGAACATTTTTTACGTGTATATATATATGTAAGTTATAGGTTCAATGATGATGTAACCGGATATACTGCACAAAAGTATACTGAATAGATAAATATGAAATTCTTTTATTCGAAGCTTCATTTCAGTGAAAATCGACTTTGAAAGTATGAATATCGAATGAGAACTATTCATGGTTTTTATCTATGAGATTACACGACACTGACATTGTACCTTGAAGATATCGAAAATCTTAGAGAATGAAACAAAATATTATTGTTTTTGTATATTACAAATAGTGCCATCGACAAAGGTTCGGGAATTTTGTTTTCCCAAAAATATTTGGATAAAGAATTTTGTGTTATTTTAAAATTATTTTATGTTTGTTTATACCACCATTTTGGACGAACCCTGTATACCGAATGTTTAATAACGTTCAACACCAATCAGATTTTCTGTATACAGAAAATAAATAGATAGTTATAGAAACCAGAAAGATGAAAATAGAAAGAAAATAGAAGACGAAATTAATTCATTCATTGTATAAATTTACCTGTGTAGACGATGCCGGAAAAATATAAGATTATTTTTATTGTCTTTTGATTTCAATATCATGTAGTGGTTAAAACAAAATACTTTAATATGGCGTTTTAACATGTTAAAAAACAAATCCACTTCGTTCAAAATCTCAAATTTTCAAATAAGGAATCAATTAACACTTCGTTATTGAAAAAGAAATCTCGTATTAAAATGCGGAATATTTTAATAATATATCACGGATCAATACGTTAAAAAATACAAAACCTATATCACTAAATGGTAATGAAACAGTTTTATTAGTTCCTCAAAGCGTGTTATTAGACCTATTCTAGTCGACAGTGATCCGTGATCTGGAGAGCAATATTTGCCATCGATATCGTAGCTCCATCTATGATCGATACATACGCAACAACTAATAACTTTTGCAACGCTCGCAAATACCTTGTGCATTTGTCGGATGAACAATGGAGGGAGTAGTTTGCATTTGTTGCGTGACCATTTGTGGCTGTTGGAATGGCTGAAAATTCTGGCTTGTCTGCACCGGTACATTTTGACTCGGCATGATCGACGACATCAATGGTACGTTGTAAGGAAAATTGATCATCGGAAAGATAGGTTAAGTTACTTGAGTTGTGTCTTTTCCGTGCGTTTACGCGACTGTGTTTACGATTGCCTCGTGTTGCCAAACGACACGTTAAATTCGGTGTTGTGTCGCGGGTTTCGTGGCGATCCTGTCACATGGAATTTTGAATTACGGAGGCCAGAAGGGATTGTCGGATTTGGTATTGGTTCAACGGATGATGGTTGGACTATTGGTAAATTCCACTTTGTCGAAACATGAAGTTGTAGCGATACGGTGAAATAATTGTTTGATTGGCTGCGTGCTGTTTGAGTTGTTTTGTGGAGATAATTTATTGCGCGTCTGTACGTATAGTGAATAATTTATATTGTTCTTTGAGCAAGATATGAGAGGTGCAATTTGTTACTTTCAATACAATGCGATTTTTTTTCTAATTTAGATCACGTATCGTAATTGGAAATTTTATATAAAGTGCATAATATTAAATTCTTCCCGTTTTCTGTGTATTAATTTAACTTTTAAACTGAAGTGATTAAATCTCCCATACTTCTAGAATCTTGTTAAAATCTGAAATAGTTTTGAACAGACACAATTTCTTAATCAAATTTTTAAAAAATTCAAGATGAATTTAAAATCCTGTTTATATTCGAAACTTCGTGTCGAAAAATCTTTTTATTAAAAAAAGAGATAAAGGAAAGTAGAAATAAAAATTTTAAATATTATTGGTTTTTAAACTTTTCGTATCAAGACACGTACACTTCTCTATTTCGTTGGGATTATGAAACGAATTCATCCTAAATTTGCAATAATTTCAAGTATTTGCAAGAATCAGCTCGCGAATCGTGAATCGTGCAAAAGTTCAAACAGTTTCATCTGGTATTAAAATGAGCGACCGGTAAAACTTTTAAAAAGACAAAGGACGAACTCCGTTTAGTTCGGAATTTACAAAAGTAATCACGTTAGAATTAAAATCACTTCCCTGAGCTTTTTCGCAGCGTCGTTATCCTGCAAGGACCCTGTAAAATTTAACGAAACGTCCCTTGGAAGATTTCCTTATTATTATAATTGCCATATCCCCATCTCTCGTTATCTGATTTTCCATCTTTGCTTGCAGCCCGCTAATATCGATCTCGCTGGTTTAGTCGAATTAATTGAGGTAAACGCCCTCTGTGATTTAACATCGGATATAAACATTGATGTAAACAACTTCGAATAAGGTTAGGCATCATTTCTAACCCTTGAATTTGCATTGCTGTTTTTAATAGATTATGAATTATTTCATGGTATTTACAACGACATGAATATTTTTATGTTTTTATGTATTAATTTGGATTTATATTTATAATCGATCATTTATTTCGTGTAGGTTATAATGTAAATTCTATACATTAGAACATTCTAAAGTTAGCATTTCCACTTTCCTTTGCTAATTTCTAACTTTGAATTAAACGTTGGGGTAATTTAAATAATGAAATAATTTCTAACTGTAGAACAAGAGACTTCGAAAACCATTTCTCTTATGGTGTTTTACCATGCATAATTATTACGCTCGCTATTTGTAGACTTAATCTTCTTAAATGGTCTTTTTAAATTGATATCACAATTACACCAATTGATGTTATTTCATTTTATTTAATTATTTTAAACTTTTGCATTTAACAAAAATTTAATCTGTTTTGATCTGCTAACAGTTTATCTCGAGTGCGACCTGGAGCACGAAGCATCAAATAAGAAATGCAGTCTGAGGAAATTCAAGGAGCTCAGAATTATTTATTTTGATAAAGATATAGATATACTTATTAAAAAATGGTATGTATAGAATCTACTGTTTTTATAATGCTTTAAAATACTTTAAAATACTTTAAAATATATGAAAGATATACTCTTTGTTCATGACGCTTTACAACTTTTTTAGATTGTCAAAGGATCAAAAATTTATCCATACATAACGGATCGGAAACACTTGATGCGCACTTTCGCGTCAGCTGGTTGCAAACATGTTCATGCGTTGAGTTTAGTGAAACTACGCGCGAAGTCGTAGACGGTCTCCAGCCATCGTCGAGCACCGTGGAGTAAGCTAGTTTGTGACGCCATTAGAAGATAAGAGCTTCATTATCTCACGAGGGGACCTGACACGCGTAACGATTTCCTACGATACTTCCAGCTGGTTACTTGCGTCCAACTCGTCGTGACGAGTGCGTCGATTTGAGGAGGTTAACTGATAAACGACACCTTATCATGAGCGATTTGACACGCGTCCCGTTTCCATAACCCTTCAGAGATAGTCAAGAATCTCGTGTGACTCGGTCGTCGATTGAAGTTAACGTCGTTGTATTCGTGTGGTGGCCGTCATTTCAGAAGGAAAGTCCAAAGCAACGTGGATCCATAAGTATTTTTGCCGTATATGGTATCATATCCAGTCTTGTAAGCTGAATCATCGACGTCGAACGAGTGAATTCACGAAAAGATATTGAAGATTATTTGTTACACGTGCTTCAAGATTTCCTTATCAGTGACGTTATTCGAAGAAAGTTATCAAATCGTTCTAATTTCATAGAGATAGCTAAGGCAGTTATAACGAATCGTTTCGACATCGGTGTTACACTCTCTCTTGTTAGTTCTACAATAAGCGTGACGAAAACGGCTTGCCGCCATTATCGTTCACTTCGCCAGGCACAACGTTTGAACTTCAAACGAAGTTCGATAACAATTGGCCGCGATCTGGTAGCGATATTCCATGACTATGAAGTCCCATGAGGTCTGGGAGCGAAGCAGCAACTTCATCGAGCACGAACTGCTTCCGGAAATGGTGCACGATCGTTGTTTCTGTGAGCCGGATTCCAGAGAATTCGTCGAGTTCGACTCAGCCACTATTCGTCTGGACGAGCTAAGTCGAAGTAGCGAGATTTATCGCGTCACAGTGGTGGTCAGGTTTTCCGGCGAGTCACGCAGCTTCCCCCTGTTGCTGAAATTGCTACCTAAAGAAGGGAGTGAGCACGTGAGTCCAACGGCGTTTGGTGCGTTCCAGAATGAGGAAATGTTCTACTCGAAGATGACACTTAAGTATGGCACGGATTTTATTCCTAAATGTTATTTGTCTGATCTGGGTCGTTATGGAAGATCAGTGATTGTCTTGGAAGATCTCGAGGAAGCTGGTTATACGCAGGTGGGTAGTGAATTGGACGAGGATCATTTGAAATTGTGCGTGCAGGTTTTGGCCAAATTTCACGCTAGGGGATTGAGACTGAGAGCGACTGAGCCGCAGATTTTCAGAGAATTTGAGGCGAACCTGGTTGAAATTGCACTTACCGAGGACGCTATGCGGCACTACGAGAAGAGATCGACTAGGTAATTGATTCTTTTCTTTTGGTATGAAGATATAGAACTATTTATTATGAAACATACAAAAATTGTGAGATAGAAATTTTAAGTTCACTATTGTCCCAAAGTTTGAATACGCTCATGAGAAGATATTCTTGGTGTTAGCTTCGTTGCTAAAGAAATTGAATTTATGACAAGGATCCTGGACAAGATGTTTCATAGATTGAAGTTTCTTCGAAGATATACATATTGTCTCTTATTCGGCTTAGAAATAGTACTATACAGCTGAAAATTGTGAATGACATTAGAAAGAGGACTAAGAGAGAAGTAATTTTCTTTATATGACTGTGATAACAATTGCTTCTGTAGTTTCTACTCTCTTCTTTTGATCATAATTATTTATCTAAATTCTTTTGCTATGCTGGGGATCGCTAGGAAACAAATAACAGAATGGGTAGAAAGGTCGAGAGAAAAAGGAACGTATAACGATGAACCTTGCTAATTCTCGTTAAGTATTACTAATCTCTATTAGTAATTCCATTTAAGGATTAAATAAACAGTGCTATATTTTTCCCTGCTGAATCTGCGACCATTGAGTAAAATTAGTGTTACGAAGGAGGATTAACTTGGTTGGATTTAATAAACTCTGAAATCACGTAACAAAAGATGCGAGAATTATCGAGCCCATTAGGATGGCGTTGTTGGATGACATTTACCCCTGGTGACCGGTAATATTGATGTTATCGATGTCAGTAGCAATGGCATAGCAACTTCCGCATGAGCGCAATAATCGGTACACAATTGAAGCGGACAGAGTCCGAAATTGATTGAGTTTTGAGTATCAACAGATTGACGTGAATCAATTAGTTGCCAGTTTGTTAGAAAATTTGAACACGGAAACATCCATCGTTTCTTGATGAAAGGTACAATTATTTTTGCTAATAAGAGAAGTTTGTGTTTAATGATATAAAATAATACTTTTAGCAATATCTTTTATGTTTCCTATTTTTGATTTCATCTCGATGAAATATTGTTTAATGTAAGTTTGTTAGGATATTTAATGCGAGTAACTGTTTTTAAATTCTGATGTTCCAGGGGTTACTACATTCTAATCTGTCCCTGGAAGTTTTTTCTGAACTTTTTCTCCGAACCATGCATCTAAATTCTCGCTGGAAACTTTCCTTTCGAGCACTGTTCCTCACAGTTCTCACTCACTATGTACCGTGCACTTTATGTACGTGTACACATTCGTAGATAGGTCAGTGTGCTTTTCGAACATACCATGTGTGCGTTGTGGGAGCACGAGTTGCCTTGTGAAGAAGTTTTAGAGGTATATTAATAAATGATAACGTGGTTCCAAAAGTAGTCGCTTTCATTATAAATTTGAATTGCGATGTATAGTTAGAGAAAAATTAGTTTCTCTTGTGATCAAATTTTCGCTTTTGATTTTATTTCAATTTTAAATCATTTTCCTTGGAAACTATTCTTGTATGGTAACGATAGGTAACACGTTTGAAAAGTCAATTGCAAAGTGTGGTCATATGTTTGTTCTAATTAGAATTTTTATCTGTAGCTTTAGTTCCTATTCATCAATCCTTTAAGGTTCCTCACAAAAAGTAAGTTCAGATAAATAATACGGTAGCTTGAAGATGTTTCTCTTTAAATAAAGATGATTCCGAAATAATTAATACCACAACTTTAACATATCAACGTAACAAATAACCTTTATCCAAAGGACATTTGTCACAATTAATGATTTCACACTAGTATTCTCCATGTTCGATTTTTCAAAACAGCCTCTTTATCTACGACATCAATATCTGATTAAATATTCGTACATACTAATTGCAGATTGTTGGACATCCTTGAAGTGATGACAAACTATGCAGACTTTGCAGAGGAGATAAAACGCAAGATAAACAATAATCTAATGGAAATGGTGAAAAGCATTGCCACGGAGGTGAATGAGGTTTCCACAATATGCCACGGTCATTTTTCACACGATAATCTGCTGTTCAAATACCAGAATGGGAAACCGATTGACGCGAAGGTGATCGACTGGCAAACAATGAGATACTGTTCGCCGGCTGTCGATCTGGGGCCCATTCTACTGTATAACGTGACGCATGAAAATGGGCCGTTGAAGGTGCAGGAAATTTTGACGCTCTACATCGACACCGTTCGATCCGAATACCCAGAGGTATCCGAGAAACATTTGAGAAAGGACATAGTAGACAAGTTTCTCTTTGCCTGCATCGTGTTGTCGTTCCTCGATCATATCACAGATGGTGAAGTTGCACGGGTTTTGTTACTGTTGAAACAACTGGATGACTTCGATTAAACGAAGTATTCTGTTCTTTTATCTTCACATGAGTCGTCCGTGATAAGGTTACATGCGTGTTTTATCCATTTGTTTCGTTATGAATTGCTGGATCGTTCTAAGAAATGTATTTTTGTAGAGAAAGTTAGTTGAAAGATATTTTGGATTGATTTTGAAAGGTATCGATACGTCGATATATATTTTGAAATATAGAATCTATTACCAATGATTTACAGCGAATGGGACTATTTGCGATTTTAGATTATAGATATACTATAACGATGATATGTTTCGTATTATCAGTATTGATAATTGCACGGAGTCAAGATTTCTGTATCACTGTTTCTAATAATGATAATTTTTAGATATCGATCAACCTTTATCTATAACATCATTAATTCCTACTATTGATCTCATAATATATCATAATTTCTTTAAATTATGACAATAATCATTGAGTTTTGCATTGATCTTCGTAAATTTACATTTCTTATATCGTCTTTATTATTTCTTTGTTATTTTCTTGTCTGTTATGATCATAAGAATATGATCGATTTTAAACATACGCGTAAGTTTTTGGTTATTCACGATAACTGTACAAGTATAAGAAAAATATCAGCACAATTATGTCATGATAATGTACTTTACCAATGATATACCAATTATAAATTCTCTTTATTTTCCAAAGAAAGTAAGAGTTTTATTATTCCGAATGTAAACCAAGTGATAACATATTATAGTTATACGATGATATTCGGAATTATATTACCGAAATTCTATATTCAAGATATTATCTCTTATTTTCTACAGTAATAACGCTAGAAAAGTGTTACAGCCATGGATTTTGGCTATTCTGCACGATGGAACTTGGGTCTTTGACATGGTATCCATTATTTCTAGCTGCTTTGATATTGTACAAATGCATTCGAGCCATTGAATTTGATTTTTCAACGTGTGTGACCGAACGATGCTTTGATTCCCTCTTTTTTATCGACGCAGCAAGATTAAAATGTAGATCACAGGAGTTGCCCTCTCTGTTTCTCTCTTATACTCCCTCTCTCCATGCGCACTCTATCTGTACGCAGCTGTTACGGCACAGGGAACTGTATCGGCGTTGTTCTGTGAAATGTAACATTACTTTCGTTCCGAATAATGTTGCGGATGAAAAATGTACTTCGACCTCGCTCTGTTTCGGACACGGATTTATGTACATATACCACGTACCACGTTTGCCACATTCGTTATCCAGGATCAAACGTTTCGTTTCCTCTTTTCTCTCTATCATGCGTCGTTTCAAACTTATGTTCAGCCATTACAATTAACATCGATAGTTCATGATCTCAATCGACGTAGAATTTTGGTCTAACGATGTTACAATCCAATCAATTATATCAAGGACTACGCGAAGGATAGCAAAAATTTCTTAACTGGCTTCTGAAGATAATAAAACATTTGCAACTATCATTATTGGTCATCTGTATCCTAGAGACATTAGTTTCTCACTGCGTATTAGATCCAATCAAAACACTCACGTTCGTGCTTCTAATTCTCTACGTATCTTGAATCACTTCCCTTCCCTCTGCCATGGATTCCTCTGGTGAAACCGTGGGTGGTGGTTGAGGTCGACCCCTTAGTGATCTACTGAGTGATCGTATACGTTGACCTGAGGTGCACACGCAGTAGACGATGGCCACGATGAGAAGCAAAATAAAGGTTGAGATTATCATGCGGCGAAAACCGCATCTGTTCCTCATCGTGGCCTTTAAGATCGGTTTGCATGATGGCAGAAGGTCCTTCGCTGAAATATAGCATTCCACGATCTGCTGGGACGACGGAACGGAGCCATTGCAGTCGCATAGAGCCCCCACTGCGGGCAGACCCATTCCCGTTTCTGGAATTTTGACGGTTCTGATGCCAGGACAGGAACTGTTTAATTGTGCACGCTGGATTTCGATTGCCGTCGACGACGGAAGTTGATCGTCTGATTTTATGCGTTTGTTGGCTTTCGTTTTATGCATGCAATATACAGGGTGCTCTGGAAATAACTGAAGGATATTATGGACATTTATTTCGAGTTATGGTTCGATGGTTTTTGTGTTTAATTAGAAATTCTTTTATTCGATTATTTTTTATTCGTGGCATATATTTTTACAACATTGTTACAGTCCCGGTATGTTTGGTAAAAGGATTTTGATAATTTTTCATTTTATTATCTTTTCTGTTTTAAAGTTTTGAATAATTAATTTTGAATAAAATTTGGAAAGAGAATTTCTCATTATTTTAATTTTAGTTTGAAGAGAATTTATTACCGTCTATAATGCTATTCCAATGAAGCAGAGGTTATCATTTTTATCATTGCATTAGCGTATTTGTAAAATCTTATGATGGAAGTCCATGTCGTATTCGCTGGAAATTCTATGCATTTTAAAGAGATGCAAATACGACACGTTTCTTTATATTTAAGCTAAGCTTTGTTCTCAAGAAAAGTAGAAAAGTAAAACGCTAAATAAATTTTCATAAATTTTTAAAAAATACTAATACCAATATTCAATATTATTAGAGTAAATAAGCCTTTTATGTATTGTAAATAGGAATAAACTAAACAAATTAAGATGTATGGTAAGTGTCAAGGAAGCGTAAAGGCCATTAATTATTTGGCGGGAAGATCCTTGCATTAATCATAAAGTACCAAAATTAATGGCATATAAACTACCGTGCTGAATTTAAAATAACGTAGTTGAATCAATTAGTTATTTTAATCTTTTCCATCGTCCTATTCTCATACGCTCTAATTTTTTACCTCGACAAATCCAAGCTGCAGATATCAATTGAAAATTTCACGGGACATAGACTTGATGTGGTGTTTAAATTTGTTTGCGAAGAAGCTTTCTGTATACAATGGCACCGATAAAAATGTTAAAAGAATGTAAGACGTAACAACTTGAGTAAATATGAAAATGTAGTTGATTTGAACAGTGTTGTTGATTCACTATTTTAAAAGGTAAAGTTGGAAGTCAGTGTGTCGTACTTTTCATTGTGCCGAAACGATTCGCCCGTTTCGACGATATATCGGGTTAGAACTAAGGCACACCAGTTCTCCGGCTCGATATGGCACGGCCCACTTATTATTAAATCCACGTTTGCACGAAAACGTGATGCAGTTAAGCAAATTGTTTTGCCACACGA